GGAATGTGGGCTTGGGTGGTCTCTCTTTTTTCCAGGCAGGCTCCTGAGCTGCTGGAAAATACCTGGAAGGGTTTGCATGGGAATGACTTGAATTTCAGCAGCAGTGGCTGATGATCCCAGTTAGGAACACATGGACAGACAAGGGGTGGGGTCTAGAAAAGCCCTTTGCCTGTCGTAGGTCTGGAATTTTTCTCCAGAAGGGGCAATTTAACTTGATTCCAGTGGGGAATCCTGTCTGATCCTGCTGTGTCCCAGGAGCTGGGGTTGGGCAGGGGCCTCTGGAGGAGGTTCCTTGGGCCTTGCTGGGGTCACACGAGGACACGTGGCTGAGGTGGTGGCTGGACCACCTGGTGCCAGACCCTCCAGCCCTGGGGATAGGCAGGACCTGAGCTTTCCATGGAGCTGGAAGGGATGGCTGTGCTGGAGCTGCTGCTGCTGGTGTTCTTGGTGTTCCTGTGGCTGGGGCAGAGCCAGGGATGTGTCTGGATGTGACCTCCTACCAGAGGGGCCTTGGGCCTGGGCTGTGTGACCTGCTCTGCTGGGAGGTGTCCCTGCCCATGCAGGGGGTTGGATCTAGATGATCCTTAAGGTCCCTTTCCACCCTAAACCATTTCATCATGATTCTATGGATTATTGTGGCCCTGGTGACCCAGACTGAGTCCAGCATGTGGGGCAGGTTTGGGGGTGCTGCCCCCCCTGCCTAGTTACAGCCCCTTAACTCCATCTGCCCCAGGATGAACCTGGGCTTCACTTTTCCCTTGATTCAAAGATTCCTGGTAATTTTGTGCTGATCCTGAGATTTTTGGTCTGGAGAGGATCTGGTGGAGCCCAGTCCTTGGGGGTGATCGACATGAGCATCAGGGATCTGAGGGGGTTGTGGGGGGGTTTCTGAGCAGCTCTTTGGCCTCACCGACCTGAGTCTGCAGAACATTGTGGCCTAAAAATGGCTCCTTGGATGTTTCCAGTGGATAATCAGGAGCTGGGCATGGGCAGCAGCTCGGGAGGGGAATCTTGGCACAGGACAGGGCAGCTCTGCTCTCTACAGGGGGTTACATGGAGCAACAAAGCAGTCCAGGCTGGATGGACACAAGGGCTCCTCTGGATGTCACCTCAGCTCTCCACATCTGCTCTGGAGCCCACGACTTTCTGAGCTGTGACCACATTTCTGGCCCACTGGGGATGAAGAAGCTGTTCCTCAGACCAGGGGGAGATGCAGGGTCCTTCTTAGGAGGAAGGAACCACCACTGGAAAAGAGATGTTGCCTCCTGATCTGT